AAGCTGAGCATACTCACAGCGCCTTCAGAGACACCAAGCTGTCAAAGGTCCCCTGAGCCAATGAAGAGAACATGTTCCCTGTAAGGTTTCTGAGAGGGGAGAAAAAAAAAAAAAAAGGTTATATTTGGGATGTACTATAAAGACATGACTAGATTACATTCACAGCAGTGCAAATGACTTACAGTCGGATCAGACTGGATAGACCTTTAAAGATGTCGCTGTTAAGACAGCTGATGCTGTTGTTGGCCAGGTCTCTGCAGTGCACACAGAAGAAGAATGACATTTTATTTGTTTGACAGCTGAAAAAAATAAACCAATCTAAGAGCCGTGTTGTTCTACCACGGTGACTCTTAACCAGGGGTACTCAGAGATTAGCTGTACTATTACGTTTAATGAAGTGAGACAGAAAAGTTAATTGGCACAAAACAGCAGACAAATTGTATTACAGTAGATAAGTAATGATCAAAAAATAAACAAATAATTTAAATTCCCAAGAGCTCACTAGCTAATTGTATAGATAAAGAAATCAGACTGAACATAACAGATCTTCTCTTTCTTCTTTCAGCTGATGCCTTTAAGAGTCGCCACAGCAGATCACCCTATCCCTGGTGTCCTCCACTGTCACATAACCATCCTTGACTACTTGAATCTCCTTCTCTGTGGTCATTCAACCTCAATGGTAACAATAACTGAGAAGTGGTAAGCTGATAGTTGTCCGCATCCAGTTTAAATGAGTTTTACTAAAGTTACTTGAAAAGTATGCCAGAAAAAAAAAGGTTGGGGACCACTGGGCCAAAAGATCATCGAGTTGTCTTCATCTGAGCTGCAAATGTATTGGAACATAAATGAACACCTTGAGAAACGCTGCTGAGTTGCTGAGATAAAAACAGTAGGTTTAAAAGAAAAAAGCCAAGTTCAACAGAGGCAGGTCGAGACAGAGACCTCCAAATTCAGCCGACAGGCTTACAACTTTCAAGGTGATTTTAGATAATGTCTGTGTGGGCCTGCGGGGGGAACCTACACATCAAAGGCACAGCGACACTGTGGTAGGTGATTAATCACCCGTGATTAATGTCAAATGCAGGAAAAGTGTGTGTTTCACCCCTTGATGTGACCTGACATTGCAAACATCAGATGGAAGTGTCAGAGACTCTTTCAAAAAGGAAACTCGGAGACAGTTCAGGGGCTTAACGGGGAAAAGATGGAGGCTGCCTCTGTGAATTACACTGACTCTACCAACATTCAGAAATATTCACTGAAGGAAGGTCCCGGTCAGCTGGAGCCCGCCGCCTTCAGCAGATATAATCATCATCAAGGGATAATCCAAGAGTCATATACATAAAGATGTTTATACAACCTCAATACTACTACAGCTAATAATAACAATAATAAAGATCCATAGACCTCAATAAACTAAAATAATAAAAAGTAAAACGTTTCAGTGGATTAACTACTTCTTTCATTAATACAGAAATCTAGTAACAGTAGTGCAACTAAGCACTGTTAGCATTCTGGTTAAGCTGTGTTTCTGGCATCCTGTCAGAGGGAAACTGCCTTAGTTGCCACATTGTGGCGTCTAACAAGATTT